CAATATTACTCACTTAAAAACCCATAGCTAATATTTCTTAGCCTCTCTAGAAGCTTCTTTAAATTCTAAACATTGTTGGCAACTGGGAATACCATTAATAACAAATCAAAAAAAAAGAGAAACATTAACAATAATTCCCAACGTTTTTTTACAAATTTGGCAATGCCATTTTTTAAAACATTTTAAACATTGTATATTTCAGTGTCACTGTCAATCAAAAATAGAAAAAAAATCTAAACTTATCAAATGTACGACTATCAACTACATTTGTTTCTTCGGATTTTTTTTGCTTTGTGAAGACCAACATCAAATTAATTCATTAATAATAAAAAATGGAATTTATTGTTTTTTTTTTTTTTTTTGATATTTGATTGGTGCTGCTGCTAACGCACAATTAATAATTAAGATACTAATATTAAATCAATGAAATGAAGGCACAAAGTGAACACAGAAAACCAAAAACAAAACAAATAAAAGGTGTTAAAAATTAATCAGACACATAGATAGACAGATGTACATGTTTACACATACATACGATAGACAGATATCTATATGGGAATTTTTTTTGCTGCTGCTGCACATAAAAAAATATTGTTAATTAGTTTTTTTATTTCTGTTTTTGCCTTTAATTTTGAAGATTACTAATGATTTGTGTATAATTTATTATAATAATATGTGCTAATCACACACACACACATACACACAGCTATAGAAAATATTGGCTACTGATGAGGTGTATAAAACGATTTTTTTGTGGGTTACCAGTGTATTGCAGTGGACAGGTGTTTGAACTTGCTTAGAGGCCGTAATTTGATATTTGGCAGTGACATGAAGAAGACAAATGCGATGACTTTGAAATGCCCAATAATCGTCTAATTAATCTCAGGTGATTTTAATTAGAAAATAGACAAATGGTAATTGATCATTTTCGTTTCTTAAATTTGACAGATTCTTGGTGTTGGATGTGAGAGTTCAAATTTCAATATCAAATCAATTATTTAATTTTTTTTGTTTGTAATTAATAAGAGCCTTTTAATTTGTTTATCAAATTTATTTGAAAAAAAATTAATTAGACTTAGCTTGATTGATTTGAAATTAATTTATTTTATTTGGAATAGATTGCAAATAAATCATATTTGCCATTTCTATGAGAAGAGGGTTATTCATTTCATTATAATAAGACTTTATTTATTATATAAGGGTAAAGGGACCTTATATAAACAGAGAGGGAGACAGCTTATTCAAATGAGAATATAATCTCTCATTTTCTATTCTATGAACAAACGGTGCTTGTTTCTTAAGTCTTTCGTTTAAACAGCAATATGTTCTAAAGAGGAATGACATTACTCACCAAAATTCAATTACTTTCTTGTGTTTTAAGTCGTTAGTTTTGTTATCACAAGAAATACACATAATCTCTGGCAATGAGCCAAAAATAATCTTTAATTCAAAAGCACTGCTGTCTCTTAATCTCTTCGTGAGTAAAACATCAACAAACAAAAAAAATAATTTTTGAGCTTATTTTGATTAAATTTTTGCTTAAAAACGCAGTGAAGTTTTTTTTTTAAAATTCTCTTAAGAATATCTCTTTTATTATTTTGCTCACACTCTTTTCCTTTAAATAAAGGAAGGAACATAAAGGGAAAACGAAAGAAGGGAAGGAAAATTTATTTCCTAATTATTGCAGAGAGCAATAAAGAGAGAGAGTTGAGTTAATTGCAATTTTTAATTTTTATTATTATTTTTTTCTTTGAATTTGCATTTATTTATTTACCATCACGTGGAAGGAGGTTTGAACAAAGAAATTGTTAAAATTTTTTCATCTCATTCCATCTCTCATGCATCCCAGTTCCTACCATATGCCCTAGGGACATTTGTGTCTCTCTCAGTTTATTTCCAACAGGTAATACGTGAACGATTGTAAACTTTTTTCCATACTTTTAATAATTTATTTTGGGGACAATTTTAGATGCCTTTCATGTTCTGCATTAAAGAAGGCCTGAGCAAAAGAGTACAAGAAATTACTAAAGAGAAATCTTAAATTATATTTTTTCTTGAGGTTTCTTTATGTTTAATGCTTTTTGAACACAAATGTCATTTGAAATGGTACCCAAAAGAATTTTCTAAAAAAGATGTGAAAAAAAATTATAACCTTCAATTATTGCAGTTTAAGAAAAACTTGGAGAGACTTGCATGTCGCCAGGGCCTATGGCCCACTCTAATGATGAGCATTGTTGAAAGTTAACCACCAAACCACCAAATCAGATGAAACATTTATAGGAGGCTAAATTTGATTTACTTGCTTTTAGGCTGAATTCGATCGAAATCCATCCCATTTGGACGAATATTATACCTATAATGCACAATAATCCGAAAATCGGACAAAGATATATGTGGGAGCTATTAAACCGAATCCCACAAATTTCAATGGGGTTTGTCTGTGGAATCTGGAATAGGGAGAAAGATGTTTTACGAATATATTGTGGAATTTAAACTCAAAGAATAGTTCGAGTAACATTTTCTTAGATCTATTTGTAAACGAAGTATAAAAACGAAAGACTTAAGACACATGCACCCCTATGTCCAAAGAGTTGCATTGAACGGTTTGTGAAGGAGTCATAGAAGAGAAAAGAGAGTAATAAGCTATCAATAAATTATCAAATATCAAAATAATTTTTATAATGTTTTAAAAATTGGTAGAAGTATTCGTAGATGACTCTCTTGAAAATAAAATTCACAGGCATTGAAAACATTTTTTACAGCAACCCTGGCCTAGGGATTTTAATAGTACGTTTATATATATGAGGGTTAACCCACTGGATTTGGATTTAAATTGTCATATCCATTACTTTTACTTCAAATAAATCCTCTCAAAGTAGGTTAACCCTACAAAAAGTTATAACGTAAACATGGCATAAGAAGTCTAAAATTAGATTTCCTTGAAGTATTTTAATATTTTTGCAATCTAAGATTATATTCATATAAAGTAAATAATAAAGTATTGTCGTTTTAAAATAACATTTTTGATTACAAATTTAGAGAACATCTACTGAGCATAATTTAATAATGTAGCCCGAGGCAGATGTGATTGCAAACATTTCTATACATAAGTGTCTACAAAGCACCTAATTAAGTCAGCTTTTTTGTAATTCTGAAAACGTCTATATTTTTATCTGCAGCCGGAAAATAAAGGTTGCCAAAGATGGAGTAAATTTTTCCTTTTTTTTCTATAAAAGGCAGATTGAGTGATTTTTTTAATGATTAACGCTTTTAATAAAAATCAATAAATGAAGGATTTTCAATAGAAATCGTTTTGGGTTTAGGGCCAATAATTTCGAAAATATTCAAATAATTGTCTTATTTTTTATATAACGTTTCAAATTTTTACAAAATGTGTTGGTCTATTTAGAACGTGAATTTTTCTAAATTATTTTCAGAACAGTGTTGACATGTTTTTTTTTTCGGAATACCGTAGTATTTTGTTGTTTCAAAATAGTTAGGCTTAATCCAATTATTGTTATTTCTATAAAAACAACGTTTTTTTATTGGTGAAGAAAGATGACAAAAGGACAGACAAAAAGCAAGGGAACTGATGAGTATTGGAGGCTCTTTCCGAAACGTAAATTATTTTCTTTTTTTATAAAATAATTTTTATAAAATACTACTTTTTAATATAAATAAATTCTGAAATTTAGAGAATGCTCTACAGAAAAATTTAACCCATTTGAATACAACATCAAAAAATCTTAATTTTTCAATAAAGAGTGGTAGCATTAGTAGTATTTTTTCATTTATTTTTTAAATATTAAATATCAAAAAAATTTAATTTTGAAAATTCAATTCTTAAAAAATATTCTAATATTCAAAATTTATTTTTATTGAAAATGATACAAAACTGATGCTATTTCTCTTTTTTTTTCAAAATTAATTTTAATTTTTAAAACTTGTTTTCTGAATTCAAATTGTCTGCAATATCAAATATCTATAAAAATCCACCCAAATCCGGTGAATTTAAAGACCAGAATTTCAATTTTAAATTCAAATCATAAAAAGTATCACAAAAATCTTCCACTTCAAAAAACATTTATAAGAAAAATATCACCATTCCTGCTATTCGTGCAAATACACTCACATTCCCTCTTTGGAAAACTATTTATAGAACTAAAGTTCCGAATGCTATACGATTTCATAACTTGAATAAAACCAAAAAAAAAAGAAAAATCACCACTGTTTTTCACAACACTTTTCCAGCTTTGCAAAAAATATTTTAGTCGTTTGTAAGAAAAACCAAAAAAAAAAAATCAAACATGTTGCAGTTGCATCATCTGATAGTCCAACAACACCCAAGTTTTTACAATGTAATATTACTACACATGCCATCACTGAGACACACTCTCACACATATATACACAGCATGATTGACACTAATAAGTATTTGCTATTTTTTGTTACTTCTTCTTCTTCTTATTTTTCCTCCGAAGCACAGGCAGAAAATCTTCAGTTAAATGTCATTACAATTTTAGACACACTGCGAACCTGAGAAGGAAAATTTTTTTGCATTTTTGTTGGATTTCGTTTGTCTTTTTGGTTGTGATGGCTTATTTGGTTGACAGTTTTTCTTGTGATTTTTTTTCATGGTTTGGGTTTTCATTCATCTGGTGATGAAATCAAAAGACTTAGCAACAAACTTGTTTTCTGTTCTTTGAATTTCGGATTTCTTTGTGCTTAGATTTTTTTTCAACAACTTTTTTTTAAATGTTCACTTTTTTTCTCACACACATTGTCTTTTTTCAAAGGGTTCTATTCTTTTTCCAGAATTTTCTTTAATTTTTGTTTCCATTTCTTTTTTTAATTCACATTTTATTCTACGTTTTTTTAATGGTCATAGATCTCACTAAATTTCGTAGCTATAATCCATGTTACTGTTGTTGTTATTCGAGTGAGCGAATCTACTCTGTTATCCTTTTTTGAGGGGGTGATGTGCCAACTCCTTGCCTTACCTTGGATTTATCGATTCGAACGCTTTTGGGGATACTTGTCTTGTTTTTGTGGTAGTTTAAACCGGGGTTTGGCTCGACAACCAAACGCTTTAACTGGCAAACGAAAACAAAAGTCAATTGCGAGGTGCAAAGTATTTTATAGGCACTTATAATCGTACACACACCACCACAGCATGGAACGCACACACACCACTTGACCAAAACAAGTTAAGAGCATGCGGCGCATGCTCTTCATTGTTGGCTGACTTGATGGCTGGCTGGCTGAGTGGTCGGGCATTTGCCCCAATGACTTGAAGATGAAAAGTCCCCCACCAACGAAAATCATCTTCGTTTCAGTGTTTTTTTTTTTTTTCGTTTTTTTTTTTTGCTAAAGTCATTTTGTTGTTATTGTTGCAGACTCTCTTTGCCTTGGTATTGGTAGCTGATGTTAAAGCTCACAGACACGAACACATTGACAAGTTTTCTGAGTTTTATTTTACAAAAATAATCTTTTCAGATCATTAGCATGATCTAAGATGATGCTGTAGAGATGCTCGCTGCGGATAATAGAGACTTCTTTATTATTAAGCTATTCGTTTTTTTATTTTTTATTTTTTTTTGTTTCCATATTCTATAGAATATCGTATTTATTTTTGAATTAGAAAATCACCAAATAATAAATGTTCATTAATAATCGAGTATTGTATGGATTGTATTTTTAACAAATCGAATCAATTTTTGATTTATTTTTAAACCAAATTTTTATTATTTCAAATAACGGGGAAATATTTAAAAATAAAACGAACAACAAATAAATTTGATTGTCTTTGAAATGAAAGGCAGTCTAGACCTTCGTGGCAATGGCAGTCTCAGAATAAAGCATTTTCTAGAAAACATATCAAAAGAACACATATTCTTGTATTAAAACCTAACTTGAGCGTTGTTTTTATTAATTTTTTGAAAGTCAGTCAAATTTATTGTATTTATCCCAGAACACCAGAAATGTTCTCAGTTTTTTTTTTTTCTTCATAGAATCTGAAAAATACCCCCAAAGTATAAAGTAATAATTTTTACAAAATTTTTTGTTTTTACAAATATTTAATAACAAGCAGGTGAATGACATTTTTTTGAGCAGAAAATTTGAGTATAATTGGTGAATATGTTCTGCGGTTGGTTCTGAAAATAACCCCAAATATTTTTTTTAAATACCCGATTATGGCCTGGAAGTTCTTATAAAAATTCATTCTTTTATCAGTAATTTTTTTTAAATATCCCTAGAAAATCCCCGTATTTTGGTCAGAAGTTCCTTTAAAAATTTTTCTTAAAATAACAAAGATTTTAGGTCAAGAGTTTCTTAAAAAACCATAAAAAATCCACAAATTAAAAAAAAACAATTTTTGACTGGAAAGTTAAAAAAAAATATAGATCCAAAATTATGGAAAATCAGGAAGTTTTTGAAAAACAAAATCTTTTAAATCAATTGGTTTGATACAAAAATCCAGATTTTTTTGTCAAGAGTTCTAGGCCAGTAGTTGCTTAAGAATTTCTTAAAAATCCAAGATTTTTGTACTTCAGAATTTTACGAAAAAACTCGATTTTAGGTCAGAAGTGTCACATCTTCGTCAGCAAAAAGTCAATCTTAAAATTTTTCGATTTGTTCCAACAGTTAATATTCGGCCTTTTTAGTACTCAAAATTCACAGCTTGTTTATCGAACTAAATTTTCAGACTTTCAATGTTTCTTATATTATACAATTTTTTCGGAAAGAAAAAAAGAGAATTTTTACTTATAACACCCAAAAATCTTCCAAATCTTTCATTTGGAAGGTTTTTCGAGGAGGATATTTGTAAAACTTTTGCTCAATGAACACACATCTAATTTTTCCGTTCAAATCTATTTCCAAGTCTCCATATGCAAATCCCAGAAACCAACGGGGACCTATCGGTTTCTCAAGCTCTACAGGGTTAATTAAAAAACTGCAACAAAGTCAGACGCCATTATTTTTACATTTTTTTTTTAATTTTATTGAATGAAAGCAAAAAATGTCGGAAATGGCATAAAATTTTAGAATACGTTTAGATTCGTTTGAATTGATCACCTTTGGCACGAATTATGGCCTTCAGACGGCCAAAGAAACAGTCAAACGCTGCCCGAATATCGCTCTGTGGTATTTGGGCCAGTTCTCGGCGAAGCGCTTGCTTGAGGTGATCGACACTTTGGTATTTTTTAGTGCCAACCTTGCTCTCCAAAATACTTCAGACACAATAGTCCAACGGATTGGTATCCGGAGATTTTGATGGGCAATGTGTGCTGGAAATGAAGCGAGGAACCTCATTTTGCAATCATTCTTGAGTGGCGCGTGCTGAGTCCTGCTGGAATGTCCAAGGTCTGCGGCTAACATGTTTGTGTACCCAAGGCTTTAATACACCCTCCAGAATATTTTAGCTGTTATGGCGGCCCACACCATCACCATGCCGGCGCTTGAGTTTTTGTGTCGAACCGAAGGTGCACATTTTAAGCTGACCTCTTTGGCAAGTAAACACGATCATTTTGTTAGTTTACAAACTGCTGGACAATCAATGTTTTTTCATCGGAGAAAACCAAATTCGGCAGTTAACCACTTTCGGAAAAGCTCTTTGGAGTCTATTTTCTTTCTGTTGCGGTGAAACTTCTTGCACTTTTTGGAATTTCAATGGCGTTACCCCGAGCTCATTTGTCAATATTTGCCGAATGGAATATTGGTATATGTTCAGCTCACGAGCCATTTTTCGGACACTGCGATGCGGGTTTCGATCAAGTCGCTTCTTTACTTTTCAGACCATTTCTGATGACGTTGCTGTTTTCTTCCGTCCACTTCCTTGATGTCGGGCTACGGTAGCGAGCGATGATACGAGACACAAAAGATTTATTCACATTTAAATGCTGGAGTGCTCTAACGATAGCCACTTGTGGTTTTCCAGCCAAACCACTTTCTTACAAATTTGGTACAAATTTCCGAAACCACCTCCATATATTGACTACATATAAAAAACTACTTTGAAACAACATTTTAGATTTCAATTACTGTATGCTCACCCAACACCAAATTTACCAAATTTAGTTCTTTTCGTACAATTATAGTACACATTTCCTATCCCTATCTCAATTCTAGATACCAATATAGACCTCAATATAAAATTTCGGGATTCCTGCTTAATCTCTTCACCCAATACCAAATTTAGTACTTTTCATACAATTATTGTACACATTTTCAGAACCACCTCCACATATCAATTCCAGTTACCAACAGAGACCTCAATATCAAATTTGAGAATTTCAGCCCCATTCCTTCACCCAATACCAAATGTAGTACCATTTAATACATTTCGTACAAATACAGTACGCGTTTCCAAACCACCGCCAAATCTCAAACACAGATACCATCAGTAATTTAAATATCAAATTTCAGAATTTTATCTCCATCTCTTCAGCCAATACCAAATTTAGTACCATTCAGTACTTTTCGTACTATTATAGTACTCATTTCCGAAACCACATTCATATGTCAAGGCTACACATGAACAGCTACCCTAATACAAAATTTAAAACTGCAATCAATGTCTGTTCACACAATACCAAATTGTACCAAATTTAGTACCATTTAGTAAATTTCGTACACATTTTCAAAAACAAATATTATTTTCAAACCTAAAACCAACACGGATCGCAATACCAAAACTTCGAAATTCCAACCACATCTCTTCACCCAATACCAAATTTAGTACTATTAAGTACTTTTTGTACAATCATGGTACACATTTCCAAAACCACCTCCATATCTTAACCACAGACACCAACAGTAACAGTAACATCTACATTAAATTATTAAATTTAGTACTATTTAGTACTTTTCGTACAATTGAGAGATATGTACTTTATATCTCCAAAACCACCTCCATATATTAATTCTAGTTACCAACAGAGACCTCAATATCAAATTTGAGAATTCCAGCCCCATTCCTTCACCCAATACCAAATTTGGTACCATTTAATACATTTCGTACAAATACAGGACGTCAAGCCTCAGCAAAATGTCAAACACAGATACCATCAGTAATTTAAATATCAAATTTGAGAATTCCTTCATTCCTTCACCCAATACCAAATTTAGTACCATTCATTTCATCATTTCCGAAACCACCTTCATACGTCTAGGCTACACATGAACAGCGACCCTAATACCACATTTCAAGCATTATATATCCACCCAATACCAAATTGTACCAAATATAGTACAATTTAGTACTTTTCGTGCACTTGTAGTACACATTTCTGAAATCACCTCTTGACAATTGCAGCTTCATCCGTACAACCTAAAACATATTGTTCCAAATTTAGTACAGTTCGCACAGTGTACCTTAACGTAACTAAAGGTTCGAAAAAATTCTGAATTCTACCTCATTTCGTCATTCCATTAAATTTTGAGTACATTTTGATAATTTTCTTAATTATAATATTAATTTTCATATTTTCTAAATACTTTTAAAAAAAGCCCCTCCAAACCAGAATATGTCACAACAGAACATTTGGCTCATTTCTCAATGTACGGCATCATTCGGTCATCATATTTGTCAAACTCCCTTCAAATAGGTCAGTCGGTGACACAATTCTGCGGTGATAAAATATATAGTGGCTTCTACGAAATGTTAAATGTTTCAAAAGAACATAATTTTTGGATTTCCCATTCCCCTCCCCCTTCCATAATAAAAAAACTAACAAAAACATTTCAAGACTTGTTATTAAATTTCACATAGTTGTTGTTACTATTGTGGTTGTTGTCGCTGCTGCTGCTGCTGTTGTCATTGTTAGTCTGTTATATTTCTTGTTCTTCGCCGCTTATCCAACCAGGTAATGACTTTAATAAATTCATCAAATCCGGCCATTCCAGCCAGCCATCCAACCAACCAGCCACAGGCAAACACACGATCGACACGAGTCAGTCAGCCAGACATTACCTGCAATTCAGCGGTTTTTTTTGGGTTTTTGGGGCCAATATTGGAGATTGCAAATCGAATGTGGTGGCAGAGGCTGCTGTTGGCACTGCTGCTGATGCAACTGGAACCCATGAAACCCTTTAAGTGATTACTTCGGTCTGTTTTTTCGGTCGATGATGATTCTCTTTTTTCTTTGTTTTTTGAAA